TCTTAATATAAAACTGCGTGTCAAATACAGCAATCCCTAAATATAAAACTGCGTGTAAAATATAGCAATCCCTAAATATACAACTGCGTGTCAAATATAGCAATCCCTAAATATAAAACTGAGTGTGAAATAGAGCAATCCCTACATATAGCACTGCATGTCAAATATAGCAATCCCTAAATATAAAACTGCGTGTAAAATATAGCAATCCCTAAATATAAAACTGTGTGTCAAATATAGCAATCCCTAAATATAAAACTTCGTGTCAAATATAGCAATCCTTAAATATTAAACTGCGTGTCAAATATAGAAATCCCTAAATATAAAACTGCGTGTCAAATACAGCAATCCTTAAATATAAAACTGGCAATACATGTATACTGTACCAATCCTTTATTATATAATACTTTAAAATATAGCAATCCCTAAATATAAAACTGTGTGTCAAATATAGCAATCCCTAAATATAAAATTGAGTGTAAAATAGAGCAATCCCTACATATAGCACTGCATGTCAAATATAGCAATCCCTAAATATAAAACTGCGTGTCAAATACAGCAATCCTTAAATATAAAACTGGCAATACATGTATACTGTACCAATCCTTTATTATATAATACTTTAAAATATAGCAATCCCTAAATATAAAACTGTGTGTCAAATATAGCAATCCCTAACTATCCTGAAAACTTGCAAGTATAACAATACCTTAATATAAAACTGACTGGCAAATATAATGGTCCTTAAATTAAAAAACCCTGACATATATAGCAAATCTATAATATAAAACTTGAAGATAAATATTCCTCAATGTAGCAAATCTCAAATATAAAATTGACCAATATAGCGATTCTAAAACATAAAACTGGAAGAAAAAGCAATCCCTTTATTTACAAGTGAAACTGATTGGCAAATATAGCAATCCTTGAAATAAAACTGGCAAATATATTAATCCTTAAATATAAAACTGGCCAATATATTAATCCTTAAATATAAAACTGGCAAATATATTAATCCTTAAATATAAAACTGACAAATATAGCAATCATAAAACATAAAACTGGAAGATATAGCAATCCCTTAATGTAAAACTGACTGTCAAATATCGTAATCCTTAAATATCAAGCTAGCAAATAAAGCAGTCCTAAAATATAAACTGGCAAATAACGCAATCACTCATTGCTATGCTCCTTTCAAAGACACGTATACTTGAATATAATTTCATTATTATTATAAAAGCGGAAATTGTTTGAATTTTGGAACTGTTTGCGTTTTGCTCTTTAACCAATTAGCAGGAAATATCCTCACGAACATCTAAATGTAAAGGTTTATACATTTCTGAACCGTAGCCAACGCAAACATTTTATTCTGTTTCAAGAGCCATAACGCGAAAATATCCATTTTTACAGTATTATACAGACATGTATACGTAACAATGACTTTCATTTCATCATATTGACACTAGCACGCTGTTATGATTTCCTGGTCATTTCCTGGACACTAACAGGCCATCATTAATAAATCATTTTAATGACACTTGCTGGTATTCATGACTTTCTCATCATTATATTGGCACGTGGACATATAGACATACATTTCGGTCAATATATTGACACGTTCACATAATCATCACTTTCTGAAGGTGACATTGGCACGTACATGTAAGCAGGACTTTCAGATCACTACATTTACACGTGTACGTAGTCATGACTTCCGGGCCCAGTTGAGAGGTGCTTAGCTTAATCACAGTTTAACGACACTTTTCAAACTTTCATAATTTTGTCAATATACAAGGTGAAATCTCATAATTTTGCATGTAAATTCACTCCACTAAATATTTGATGTCTGGAAAGTTGTAACTAATTCAATGGTTGTGTCTTAAATATACACAAAAAATAAGATTTGCACTAATCACTGATTAAGCTAAACATCTTTTGAACAACTGGGCCCGGGTCTTTATATTAACACGTGCAAACAGGCATACATTTGTGACCATTCTATTGACATAAGTGCGTTAGTCGTGATTTTCCGGAACCAAGGGCAATAAAGGATAATCACTTACTTGCTATAACATATCTGTCCTTTAGAACCCAAAATGGAAAAATTCCGATCGTGCAATAGGGGGGATATCTCATTGATTGAGTTCTAGATTTTCACCACATCATAATTCCGTGACGTAGAACGACCTCAGATTTAGCCTATGATCCCTAGCTAATCCCTGGTCAGTACAATACACAAATACTCCGTAAACTTTTTACATAAGGAGACGAGGAGTCGTAGACCATCGATGGTGTTCAGTGCATTGTAGATTCATTCTTAAATATCAGGTATGTGTACATTTTACTTTTCTTATCGAGTTAACAAAACATCATATGTTAAAGCTGTTTAGTAATGTATCGAGCTGTATTACAATTATTTAGGATAATACGCTGTCGGCCTTTATTAGAGAATAGAAAACGTATCGGACTGAGCCATTATCACGTGTTCTAGTGTTGCCTAATTTAATCGTCTCTTTACTTAATTAATATTAGTTATAACAAATATGTGAAGAAATAACATTGTACAATTTTAAGATGGATAAAGCATACGGTGCAATCTTATAATACCCCTTAATTAATGGGGTAAAATGTTGCGTTAAAAAGAACTGTTGTCGTATTTTGGGGGTAGTATATAGCAAGATTGGGGAGGAAAGAAAAAGTGGATTTTAGGAATATTTTGGCATTAGTGTTAAATGAGGGACACAATAACGAAGAATACTGTCATATGAGTAGAAGTGTTTAGGCATCAAAATAAAAAAAAAATAAGTATCGCTGAAAACGAAATTGTGATTTATATAAGACTTGATCAATCTCTTTGTTCACAATGTAATGATGTTAGTGATGTTAATGTTTGAGCCTTTGTATACCCCAGTCGAGTTCGCTGTTAGCCTGCCTGCTTGATCCTACCTCAACATTGTGGTATTACAATAGATAAAAAACGTACGGAAAGTTGAATAATAATGATTTAATGAACAACGTTCCTACGTCATCGCTGTCGTCACACCTAGGCCATTGTGTGTTTATTATAATTATCCCATGTGAAATGACAACACGAGGTGTATAGTCATACCAACATTTTTTTTTTTAAATCAGTCATAGTAGAAACGGTATATGGTACTCGGGATGACTAATTACGATGTATATATATACTATCCTTACACACGAATCCCTGGAATGGGTATAGATTCCAATCAGAAATCAATCGATAAACAGTTTACATTGTTCACCTTACAAGCTCTGAGATGTTAAATTACAGTAAATATATGGTAAAATTACCCATTGTTTTTAAGCAGCTATTTACAATGAATTTCTTCCATATACTTATCGTAATTCATTTTGTTCCACGCTTTCCTCCAACATATGTCAAGATACCCTTTACTTTTGCTTAAAATGTATTCTATAAAAATTATCACCAATGTATCGACAAACGCAGGTATGACGTCCGATTTCGGCGCACTGATAGGGCAATATAAGGCTATTTTATGGTTTGTATATTATAAGTATATTAAGACGAAACTTTTACACTCTTTTCGGAATTTTGATACCAATCAAATAAAGTGATCACTTTCATGCGAGTACATCCACAAGTACCGATATATATTCAGGATAGTTGCATTGCAATTCATCTACAAAACACCAGTTAGCTGTAATAACTAAAGAGACCACAAAGAACTTACGTACAGTATGTACGCAGTTTCAGTAAGTTTATAAAGGATGTATACATTACTGTCTACAGATATTGTCAGGTAATTACATCTGCACAGATTACTTGAAACAGTGCGTCTTACGAAGTTTAAAAATAAATTAGATCTAAAAGAAAATAATAGAAAGAGATTCACCGTACAATGTTAGTTGACAGCGCACACTTAAGGTTGAATCTTGCTTTGGTCGATTTCATGGGGTGATGAATTGAGTTGGTCTTGAAACAAATTTAATGAATGTTGAATTTGTTTAAAGACCAACACAATTTCTACTCTATGAAATCGACCAAAGCAAGATTAAATCCTTGTATTTCAATCAACGTGTTTTTTTCAATAATTGGAACTTATGAAGTCCATTCTGATCGTTTGTCACAGGTTCTGGAGCTTGTGCAGGTCTACATATTGACGTAATGTAAAAATATAGTCCGTCATTGTAAAATGTCAGATTTAATTTTTGTTGATGAATTCAAAATATGTCATATTTTGCGTTCCGTAATCGCAGAAAAATAAACGCTAGACGCGATGCACAGGATCAGTTGTGAGTCTACGGCAGCCATCATTTTATTAGGGGAAGGTGGAGAGCCGCTAAATTTCGAGGTTCTACATCTTCTGGAATGTGAAGCTGCAGTAATTGAATGTCGAATTAGACAGGAAAACAGACGTGGCTTGAAAGGACGAAACATTTAAAATGACATTTTGCTGTTCGACTGTTAATCATATAAGACGGGACCACATGGATCTACTACAGGGGTTCGTTAAAAATGTCTGAAAAACACATATGCCTTTACTAATATGGGTCACAGCACACATAAACATACATATATACTCATATGCTATACTTATATGGGTCACCGCACACATACATATAAATGTATACACATATGCTATGCTCAGTATGCTGAAATGAGTCACAGCACACATACACATACATTAGTATGTGCTGCTGTGTATTTTAGACTTTTGTAACGAACCCCTGTGGATCTACGTTGTTTTCGATTTGTACCGGGGGTTGATAAAATGGGTAGCTGGATGAAGAATTTCTAGGGCAGTACATGACTTGTCACTACCGCTAGCAACCGTGAGCTGATACCATTTTGCTGATTTATCGTTTTTGGTTGTTTGAACAAGTTAATAAAAGTATAAAATATTTCTCTCTATTACAGTTGCACTTTGATGAAAAAGGAGACCAGTTGTTGCTTAAATCGTCCAAATATGAAATCTTTTGGAATGGGAGAACATTTGACCGTATTGGCATTATTAATGGTGATTAGTCCACATTTCACCTCATGTGCTTCAGTGGATGATATCGCGAGATTAGAAACGGATCTGTTTTCAAACTACTCACTAATACCGAGACCTGTTTATAACCAAAGTGAGGTTGTACGTGTCGGGTTGGAGATTTACCTTTTTACAATTATTAAGTTAGACGCCGTATCAAGCGTCATTGAATTAAGCGCGGGAGCGATAATATCTTGGTATGATTATAGACTGACATGGGACCCAAATAACTATGGCGGACTGACAACATTAGTGGTCGATTCGTCCTCTCTCTGGTTTCCGGGTCTCTTTATCATATCCACAGCCGACGAACTTGAGATCTTGGGAGCAGATCAATTCCACGTAGATATAAGTTCAACTGGAAATATAAGCTGGGTCGTGGGTAAGTTGCTGACATCGTCTTGTAGTATGGACATGACTAGCTTTCCCGTGGATACCCAGACCTGCTCGGTTGTGATAATGCCGTGGGGGTATACGGAAACTGAAGTCGTGGTGTACCCACTTGTTAATACCATAAATATGGGTTTTAGCAACCCAAATGGTGAATGGAATGTCGATAAGACATTGGTGGCTGAATACGATGCATACAAACCAAACGCATCTGCTTTGTCAGCTGAGTTGACTTTAAGCAGGAAATCAGCATATTTCGTCATTTCCTTGGTACTACCGATGAATCTGATTGGTTTGCTCACCCCAGTAGTCTTTCTACTTCCTGCGTCCTCAGGAGAACGTATTTCCTATTCCATCACGATGTTTCTATCTCTAACCGTATATATGACCATTGTATCGGACAGCATTCCAAAAGTATCTGAACCTATGGCCGGCATCACCTACTTCACCCTGGTTGGTCTGATCTATAGCTCAACAGTGGTGTTGTTGACGATCGTTACAATAAGGTTTGAAGCTTTAGACGATGTGGATAACTTTCCCAAATGGATTATATCGACAGTAAAATGGTTAGTCACATTCTGCCAGAAAAGACGAGTAGCTCAAGTAGAGGATAAGGCTGATGGAAAACATGATCGCGACGTGGATACGACATCAACAGATTTGACCAAGATGATGGTGATAAAATACATCGACTACTGCCTTTTCGCGATTACAATGACTGTAACTATTATTACTATTACTTGTTTTACAGGAGTGTACTATGTATGACCCGGCAATTAATGTTGATATACAATTGTAGTGATAAGAGATGAAATACAAATTTGATAGATATTGTCATCTGGGAACATCAAGTAAACTTCAAAACACGTTATGTTCCCAAAACATAATTTTCTTTTGATTACTTCGTAACACTGTATTAGAATTTCAGAACGCATGTTCTTTCCTGGTTATAATTATTTGTTTTTGGAGTCTAAGAAAATAAATGTCTGCCTTTTTCATCTTTTTCTTTTTTAATTGATGTATTTTAAACCAAAATCGTTGTTTTGAGAACATCCAAATGATTACATTATATCATGTTTCCAATAAACTGGGATCCAACGAAAGGGACAATGCCCTTCCTTTATTTACCATTTATATCCTTAATATGAAAGATTCTTCAATTTTGTCAGGAAGGTAAGGCTTTTAAATCTTACAACGCCCAGGCGACTTCCCCTTTCTACATACATATGCATACAATTAATTGCATTCTATAATGAATACTAACTAACCAACCTCCAGCTTTACAATGTATTCCTTGTGTCTCTAACCAATGTTCATATTCATGGTTCATTATCTGCTTTTGTTGTAAATGAACCTTCAGGGTGAGGGCTTGTAAAGGTGTTGTCTGCTGTCCAATTCCCTTTAAGTTTGATTGATTTAATAAAATATTTTGAGATGAAACAAGCTTTCTTTACAAACTGGTGATTCTTAAGTTGCTTAAATGGCGAATCTGGTTAAGAAGGTTATATGAACTCTGGGACCTCCCAGATAGGGTGTGGACTCTGGGTCTTAGATTATATGCGCTAAGGGTTTGGCATTTCAACTGCATGAATGGTTGTATTCATATCCTCATGTGTTCGTAATTATAGAAGCTGTACACTCATAATTTCATCTTATATGAAAAGGCAAAGCCTTAAAAGAGCGTAGCTTTTGTTGATCTCTGATAATTACTGATTCAGAATACAACTTTCAGAATGAGATAAGATACTTTATTTAATGTCGGCTAGTCGAGGAATAACAAAAAAAAACAAGCTCTAATGAGATTAAGACTGACATAACACTGAATAGGAGACAGGGGCAATTAATTTTAAGTTCGGCCTTTTTTTTATTATTAAAGTCCGTTCTAGGAAGTATGGCAGTACGTCCGTTTTTAAACATTATTTAACTTTTCCTGTCGGATGATCGGATGGCCGAACGAGCCCCGCCATGGGATAGGTTCGGACAGGCATTCGGGTAAATTCGGCCCCTTTGGAATCAGCTTAATTATGACGTTATAAAGCATGCAACGTCAGATTTTACCGCCAATTTTACGATTTTTAATGTGTTACATGGGCCGAACTTGCCACGGTATCATTGGCCGAAACTGTCCGGGCCCAAATTGATATTTCAATAAATCCTTATCGTACAGCAATATGGTAGTGAGTGCTTGGCTTTGCTTTTATGTATATCGTTTGACCGTAAAAAAAAATAGCAATTCCGTTTACAGAAAGTTCGCATAACTAGAAGCGTGATCATGACTTTCTTTCCACTTTCTCAAAAGTAATTTTCTCCTGTTTTGTAATTCTACGTTAGAGTTTTCCTCGCCATTTTTTTCGTGTGAATGTCCAGCCAACTAAACTCCTAAGGTCTTTAAAGTTGTAAATATTAGCTCAAAAACAAAAATATCAGGGGTGACCGAATTAGCCCCGGTCTCCCGTATGTAGATTTTTGTATCGTTGATGATTGGTTAAAATGTATTCACAATATAATATTTGCATCAATGACGCCATTTTCAAAGCTAAAGCAGATATTTGTTCTTGTGCGTAACGTATATGATGGGTCGGGTGGCGCAGTGGATAGCGCACTCGTCTTCACCAAGATGGCCGGATTCAATCCCGGTTACCTATCTGACCACGCGGGTTTTCTCCGGATACTCCGGCTTCCTCCCACATTAAGAATTAAATTATCTGTGTGCTTCCGTCAGGTCACAAAAGAATGATTGAAATAAGGTGGGAAAAAACTGTTTGGTAATTACTATAGAAAAAGTGCATATTACATATTTGACGATAAGTCTATAAAAGTAAATGTAAAGAGATATTAGTTTAAAAAAAATGATGTAACTGAGATTGTCGTTATATCGATATTTAGAACTCCTGTTCCATCCTGAAACACCGGATTAAATTTCAAATATTGTAACTGTCACTGAGGTTTGACAGGTAATGATACCAAATAAAACTAAACAGTTTCTGTCTGTAACTAGTTATAAGTTATACTTTGCTGAAAAAGGGCGTTGATTGTTGATTTCGACATGAATTAATTATCCATTGTTTCTTTTATGAGTGGTGATGCATACATAAATTATGTCAAGACTATAACCGGACTTTCAGAAATGTTAATTATTTCGTTCATATCCTCAACAAATGGAATTTTAGACGATGAAAAATAAATGTACACGTTGCTATTGGTTTAATGCGCCTCTTTTTGAAAATACCTCCCAGTAGAAATACTAACAGAACCTGGTTGATGACAAAAAGGATCTTCAGAAAACATCCGCATTTTTACTTTTTGTGCCTGTGGCAAAAACTGAAATTAAAAAATCATGAAGCACCGGCAAAGAGATAAATGCAACGGCCATCAGTTCCAAGATTTTCCGGTTATTTTTCGTCCTTCCGGAAATAACCGATGAAGGCCGATGGAGTGTGGCGTGATTGTAGGTCATCGTATGATAATCTCTGAACGACGTTTCATGCCTGCTAGTATCAAAATGTTTATGCTTTCTAAATAAACTAGTAATAAAACATGAGTATTGTTTTCACTATATGAATATGTTCATGTATGGGTTGAAACACAATTGTCTTTGCTTCAAGGATACACTTCCGGTTTCCCCACTGGAGGTCTACTTCCGGACGAAAAAAAATCCAAACGGGAATCTGGAGCTTACAGCAAAGCGCCATGGCTTGCGCTACATTAGAAGCCAGACTTGAAGAACCTACAGAACGTAAGCACCATACAACATTGCTGAGAACGTTTTTCTGCCGGATATATTGGTCACACATTCGCGTTTCCGAAAACGTTTTATCAAATGATTCGATTGGAACATACTGCGAGAATTATGGTTGAAAAAAAAAAAAGCTGATATTCAACGCGTGCTATTTTAAAAATGAAAATGTATCTTTTAAAAGTATTTTTTGGTTTTTGGTTTTTTAAATGAATACCTTAATCAACATGAAATGAAAACCAACGGATACTGTACATTCAGCTATATTCCATAAGCATCTCGTCAACTACATCAAAGCTAAAGTAAGTCGCAACTGAAAACATACAATTACACTGTCTAAAAGCTACGAATCTGCTGTCTACAACTATGTGATATTAAACCACAACACACATTAATGTCCTAATGTACATCACATGCAATTATTTACACAAACAAGACAATTAATGGTTCTCAATAACATCACATGTAACTGTTTACAACTACCAGACCCATAACTGTCCTCAATGACATTACAAATGATTGTTTACAACTATAAGACACGAAATTATCCTCAATTAAATCACATGCAATTTCTTACACCTACAAGACACGTAGCTGTCCTCAATAACATTACATGTGATTGTGTACACGTTGAAGACACTTCACTGTCCTCAATTACATCACATGTGATTGTGTAAACGTTGAAGACACTTTACGGTCCTCAATTGCATTCCAGGTGATGGTTTACCATTATAAGACACGTCACTGTCCTTAATTACATCACATGTGATTGTGTAAACGTTGAAGACACTTTACTGTCCTCAATTGCTTTACAGGTGCTGGTTTACACTTGTAAGATACGTCACTCTCCTCAATTACATCCCATGTGATTGTGTACACGTTGAAGAAACTTCACTGTCCTCAATTACATCACATGTGATTGTGTACACGTTGAAGACACTTTACTGTCCTCAATTGCATTACAGGTGCTGGTTTACACTTATAAGATACGTCACTCTCCTCAATTACATTACATGTGATTGTGTACACGTTGAAGACACTTCACTGTCCTCACTTGCATTACATGTGATTGTTTACACCTATAAGACACGTATATGTCCTCAATTACATCACAGGTGATAGTTTATACCTACAAGACACGTTACTGTCCTCAATTAATATCACAGGTGATAGTTTATACCTACAAGGCACGTAACTGTCCTCGATTACATCACAGGTGATTTGTTACACATACAAATGATCGCCCAGTGTTACACATCTATATTTATAGTTTCAAGTGTAATTGACTCAACAACCTCTGTTGAGGTCATTTAAATTATCACTCGCTAATGACAGTAGTGATACATACACGGTATACATATGTGTACGTCAACAACCCGGGGGTTTCCATTGCTATTATTGGACGTAAACAGAAGTACTTGGGAAACGGGATTTGTAAACAAATGATAAATTTCCAAATAAAAAACCACATGTAAAATTGAAAATGATAGCATTTCTCATGATATAAAAGTTGCAAGTACGAAACTTGTTGTGTTGGGTCAACCGAGGCTGACGCGAGTGACGGCAATTAACATGGCGCGTGTTCCACGTGGATACTTTGATGTTATCGCTAAATCTTTGTAAACTTTTTACCTCTGTACTAAATAAACGTATTTTAGATGTGTGTACAAAATATGACCTTATTACTGATGCGCAATTCGGATTTCGTCCAGAACTTAGTACGATTGATGCAATTTTCGCATTACATTCTATTATAACGAAAACTTTATCTTCAAAGAAACGTTTGTACTGTTGCTTTGTGGACTTTCGCAAAGCGTTTGATTTTGTTGATAGATTAAGCTTATGGCGTAAGCTGACTAAGCTTGGTATTCGTGGGAAAATGTTATCCGTCATTAAATCATTTTACAAATCAGTTAAATCTTGTGTATCAACTAACGGTAAATGTTCTAATTATTTTGAGTGCAGTGTTGGATTAATGCAAGGGGAAATATTATCGCCTTTATTGTTCTCAGTTTTTGTTAATGATTTTGAAACCTCATTTATTGAAAATGGTGCAACGGACTATGACTTTGGTGAATTAAGTTTGTTTTTGTTAATGTATGCAGATGACTTAGTATTGTTTTCCGAAACTATTGAAGGTTTACAGAGTCTTTTAGATAATCTGAATGTGTATTCTACTAAATGGAAATTAACAGTTAACACTGAGAAAACCAAAGTAGTTGTATTTAGAAACGGTGGTAGTATACGAG